AAAGAATGAAAAAGGAAAAAATAGGAATGTGTCAAGGAATGAATGAGTGTGGAAGAGAAGGGAAGAAGGGAGGGGAAAGAGAAAAAAGGAAGGAGTGTGGCAGGAAACAAGGGAGGGTGTGGGAAAGGAAGAAGCAGAATGTAAGTGAAAGAAAGGGAGAAGGGAGGAGTGTAGGAGAGAAAGAGAATGAGTGGAAGCAAGAAGGGAGGGGTGTGGGAGAAAGCGTGAAACAAACAGGATGAGAGAAAGGAGGAGCCAGGGAAGGGAGAAAGAAACACAAGCAAGAGCAAGAAGGAAGAGAAACGTGACAGAAAGCAGGAAAGAGGGGAAGAAAAAGGGCTGCATGGGACAGAAAGAAAAGAGCAGTGTGAGAGAGGGAGGCAGGAAGAGCTGGGCAGAGGAAGTGTGCAGGAGAGAATGAAGGGATGAGCGTGAAAGAAAGAATGGGTGAAAGACAGGGTGTGGGGAAGAGGATGAGTGGGGAAAGGAGGAGTGTGGGAGAGAAAGGAGGGGTGTGTGCAGGGGAAAGGACCAAGTCCAGTGAGTTCTAAGGCACAGGGGCTTGGTTTACTATTGGTCTGTACAGCGCCTGGCTTGGCCTGATCCTGACTTGGGGTGACTGGACAGTGCCTGGCACCCCTGATCCCACATTGGGAGGTCTGTACCCTGCTAAACCTGGCCAGGGGAGGGGGGTCTGTACAGAGCCCAGCAACCCCAATCCCAGCCTGGTGAATCTGTACAGCTCACGGCATGACAGGCCCAGGGGAATTAGGTGCTTAGTGATCCCTTGGAAGAAAGCAGGGGGAGGAGTGCATCCCCACTCCGTAGTGATTCTCCCACAATGCACTGCACTCAGGAGACACCTTGGGAGAGAAGCCACAGTCCATCCCTCTCACACAATGCCTGTGCAAAGCCACCTCTCGCTTACTCCCGCGTGCAACAGATCCCCAAGGGCTCACACCAGGGGCTGGGGCAGCAGTAGTAGGGCTTTTATCCTGGAAAATGACAGGCCCTAACCTGGAATGCCTTGCTGCTGGGGAGCAGGGCCTATCCTTTCCCGTATCTGGCCAGGAACCAGCCTGGGTGGTGGTAGCTGGAAGCATGGGGAGGGCACAGATGCAGGGGTGGGAGAGTGGTGAAACTTCCCCTAGTGAAAGTTTCCCGGCTGCAGCTTGAGTGACTGGAGATTTGTTCTACTCCTTCCTCCTTCCCTTTTCCCTGGCTGCTAGTGCATACATGGCACTGGACACATTAGGCACCAATCCCAGCCGGGCTGTGTGTCACACTGTGCGCAGCGCTGGACACATGGGGCCCTGACCCCAGCTGGGCTGTGTCACAGTGTGTGTACAGACACCACTGGACACATGGGGCCCCAATCCCAGCCAGGCTGTGTGTCATGGTGTGTGTACAGCACTAGACACGAGCCCCGATCCTAGCTGGGCTGCGTATCACAGTGTGTGTACAGTGCCAGATATGTGGGGCCCCGATCCCAGCAGGTTGTGTGTCAGTGTGCGTGTACAGCACTGGATACATGAGACCTCGATCCCAGCTGGGCTGTGTATCACAGTGTATGTACAGCACCAGACACATGGGACCCCAATCCCAGCCAGGCTGTGTGTCATGGTGTATGTACAATGCCAGACACGTGGGGCACTGACACCAACCAGGCTGTGTCACATAGCGCTGGACACATGGGGCCCTAATCCTGGCTGGGCTGTGTTTCACGGTGTGTGTACAGCACCAGACACCCCGGGCCCTGATTACAGCCAGGCATCTGGGCTCCCAGCCCAGCCCTCCCCCCGGCCCCCCCGCCTTTAACCACCCAACATCACTCCCTTCCCAGAGCCAGGGCTGCGGATGTAGAACCCAGGAGTCCAGCCTCCCTGCTGTGTAGCTGAAACTTTTGACCCTACTTCTCCCTTCCCTTCCCGCCCTACCTTACTTAGGGGGGAACCCAAGAGTCCGGACTCCCCAGCACCACCCCCCCACAGGGAAGCCTCCGTGCTTCCTACAACCCATGCCGGGAAGGGATGCCCGGCTGCTGCCTACTTCAGCACTCTGGGGAGAGAACCCAGGCATCCGGGCTCCCAGCCCCCTGCTTTAAGCAGTCAATCCCATTCCCTTTCCTAGCTGGGGAGAAAACCCAGGTGTCCTGGCTCGACTCAATCCCACTCATCTGCAGAGCTGGAATACAACCCAGGTGTCCATGCTCTGCTCCTTGGGAGACACCACATCCTATCCCAGAGGTGACTGCATTTCAGTGCTGGGTGAATGCTCCCTGTTCATCCTATATGGATCATACCATGTTCCACCCCAGAGCTGGCTGCATTTTTAGTGCTGGGTGACTGATCCCTGTTGAGTCCTGCAGTACAACTGGCCACCACTGGCTGCATTTCTGTGCTAAGAAAATGCCCCCTGTTCATCCTATCTGGATGATACCACCTCCCACCCCAGGGCTGGCTGCAGCTCCAATGCTAAGCGAATGACTCCTCTTCACCTTTGCTGTGATGCTCTCTGGACCACACCGTGTCCCACCCCAGAGCTGGCCGCCTTTCAGCACTGAGCAACTATGCAGCTTTCAAACCAGCCTCACTGCCCCTCCCCAGAGCCAACTGCATCTTGCCCCAATTGGGCTTCTCAGGGCTGAGATGCGTTTTCAAGCTCTGAGTTTTGCCTGAGATCAGGGTTGCACTAGGTGCTGTACAGACCCCCAAGTTGAGACTCGGGGGTACCAGGCACTGTCCAGACCCCTCAGGCTGGGACTGAGGAGCACTGGGCACTGTACAGAGCCCCCAGGCTGAGACTTGGGGGCATTGGATGCTGTCCAGACAACCCAGACTGGGATCAGGGGAGGGGGTTGAGCCTAACAGAGACAGGTAAGAAATTCCAGGACAGGGAGGGCAGGAAACTCCAGGGACAGTAAAATCCCTGGTCGTGGTGGGGAGGGGGGCCAAGAAGAGGAATTACCCCCTCCCACAGGGCCCAGAAACCTGCTTCCTCTTCCTGCCCCAGGCTCACATAGGCTTCCACCTTCCTCTTCCCAGGCCTTAGAGGAGCCCCAGCAAAGGAGAAGAGAGCTGGGGGGGAGATGGCCCCCAGTGGGGAAACTGAGGCAGGGAGTTGGGGGACAAGGGAGGGGGCTCACTCCCATCTGCCAGCCGTGGGGGAGTGGGGAGAGAAGCAGGGGGGGAGACTGTTGCAAGTCTCTTTGCTCTAAAAGCAAAGCGCCCCCATAGAGCTAGAGAGAGAACCCAGGCATCTGGGGTCCCAGCCCCCCACCTTGCTCTAACCCCCCAGACACCAAAAGATTGAATGAGGCACAAGAGAGCAGAGGCAGATTTGTACAGTGCTAGCGCCCCCAGTCTTGGCCTGGGGGGTTCAGACAGCACCCAGCACCCGCTGATCCCAGCCTGGGGGGGCTGGACAGCACCTGGAGCCCCCCAGTCTCAGCCTGAGGGGTCTGGGCAGCACTTGGGCCCTGGTGTTATTTCCCCGGTGACGCGATGAGGATTCCCCGCCCCCAACTTTGGTTTCGGTCCAAGTTCCCTCTTCAGAGCAATCCGTCCCTCCTCCCCGTCCCCTCCACCACGGCCCCCCTGGGGCTCAGCCCCTCCCCCCATCCTTGGCGGGGCAGTTCCCAGCACTGGGGATCCCAGCTCAGCCTAGGAAGTAGGCGGAGGGAAAGGGCTCTGTGCCTCAGCTTCCCCAGCTTGGGGGGATCCTGGGGACCAAATTGGCATGACTGGTTCTGCCTGGGGGAGCTCCGTGCTGCGCTCCCCTTCCCCCCGCCGGGTGCAGCAAAGGGCTTGGGAGGACTCGGCAGGGTTTGGGCTGGCAGTGCTCTTTGCCTGTTTCCCCACCCGCGATCATACCCATTTCATGGGGCCCTGAGGAAGCAGGTGGAGGGCAGACCCCATGGGGGCGCGGTTGTCCTCCCTCCCCGCCCCCCGCCTTCCATCAGCCCCGCCAGGAATCCCCTTGACTCCGGGGTGGAGCATGGGGGAGAGCCCAGGCATGCGGGCTGCCTGGCTCAGTTTCCCCATCTGCCTTGGGGCCAGGGCAAGGGCTGGGGCAGGGCTGGGGGCCTGGTGGATAAGGAAACTTAGACAAAGAGGGTCCCCCTCCAACAACCCCCAGAGCCCCTTCAGCGAGCAGGAGAGCTGAGCAGAGGACCCAGGCGTCCGGGCTCCCTGCCTGGCCCCAGTCAACCTAGTATACTGGGTTTGCTGGGAGAGAGAAGTGGGCACAGGCCCCAAACTGAGACCCCCCCCATCCCCAAGGCCTTAACCCCTGCCCTGCCGATGCACCCCTACAAACCCGCAGGCCTGGGAGGGCGGTCTTTTCAATCTTGGACGCCTGGGGTCTTTCCCCCACCTGCCCTGAACCTGGCACCCGGGAGATTGCCCCCGTCCTGGCCTGCTGCAGCCCCCTGCCATTGGCGGATGTTCATTATTATTCTTGGGCGGAGTTGGGGAAGGGGGTGCTGGGACCCTGGGCTCTCTCTGGGCCCTCTGCCCCCTTACCGCTGCGCCTCCACCCCGCCGCGGGGGACTCCCAGCGCCTGGAAGCGGAGCACTGGTTCATACTGGGCGAACTGGGAGCCCCGGACGGGAGAATGGCGGGAGCGGGGCTCGAACCGGCGGGCATCTGGCGTCGAGGCAGGGCTGAGGGCGCCCCCTAGTGGGGATGGGGAAGTTGCGGCGCCCCTGGGGCAACGGGGGTTCAGGAGCCCGGGGGGGCGGTCCTTGGGTCCCACCATCTGCCCCCCAACCCTGTTACTGCCCCGCCCAGCCTCGGCTAATTGCTCCCGAGCTGCCCCCCGATGGGCTGCAGCGGCCCCGTCTACACTAGGGCGCCCCAAGAGGGGGAGCTGCGGATTCCCGCCCCGGCCCCCCTCCACTGGTGAGCGGGGGCGGGGCCAGGGAGGGGTCTGCGGTTGCCCCGCCCCCTGCGCCCCGCCCAGCCTAGCCCGGGTGGTCCCCAGTGGAGTCGCGCAGCGCCGAGCACGGTAGGTACCGAGAGCTGGGCGGGGGGTTGGGAGCCCGGACGCCTGGGCTCTCTGCTCTAATCTTGGGGCGGCAGATCCCGGAGCCCGGACACTCCTTGTCCTAGAGGGTATGAATTCAGGAGCCCGATGCCTGGGTTCACTCCCCTACTCCAGGATGGGGGTGTTCCTGGGAACCCGGCCGCCTGGATTCTCTGCTCTATGCTCTAGTCCTGGAGGGAGGGGTGGTATTTGGGACGCCAGGGTTCTTTCCCCAACCCCGAGTCCGGGAGAGGCATGAGGTCCTGTTGGTTAGAGGCTGGGGAGGGGGCTGAGCTTGGAGCTCACTTGGATGCCTAGGTTCCCTCCCATCACCAAAAGGGGAAGGGGGGAAGCTCTG